GCAGCAGCAGCAGCAGCAGCAGCAGCAGCAGCAGCAGCAGCAGCAGCAGCAGCAGCAGCAGCAGCAGCAGCAGCAGCAGCAGCACACCAACATGATTCGCCAGGCATCGCTCCGGACTTCTGCGGAGCAGCAGCTCGGCACTCCACCCCACAGTAAGTTCCTCAGCTCTCCTGCATCCAAAGCAGCAGCAGCAGCAGCAGCAGCAGCAGCAGCAGCAGCAGCAGCAACAGCAGCAGATAGTGTGCGTTCCTGTCGGCAGTCATTTTGTCCGCCCTACGCATGAAAGGCTCGGATGGCGAGAAATGGCAGCAACTGCTGCTGCTGCAGCATCAGCAGCTGCTGCTGCTTGCGTTTGCTGCTGCTGCTGCTGCTGCTGCTTGCGTTTGCTGCTGCTGCTGCCACTGCTGCTGCTGCTGGGAGCATACCTGCGTCTATCACATCGCGACTCAGGAGCTGCTGAAACCTCTCAGCTTTAACAGACGTGCTGGCGACAGTATTGCTGCTGCTGACTCAGGAGCTGCTGAAACCTCTCAGCTTTAACAGACGTGCTGGCGACAGTATTGCTGCTGCTGCTGCTGCTGCTGCTGTTGCTGCTGCTGCTGCTGCTGTTGCTGCTGCTGCTGCTGCCGCTGCTGCTGCTGGAATTCATTGTGCTACGACTCCGTCCCGAGTCCCCCTGAGGCATCCGCGTGGGTGTGGGGGGCAGAAGTCGTGTGAAGTGGCATCGCTTGCTGCTGCTGCTGCTGCTGCTGTTGCTGTTGTTGCTGTTGCTGCTGCTGCTGCTGCTGCTCGTGCCTTGGCTCATTGCTGCTTCAGACGCAGCAGCACCTCCAGCAGCTCGGCTAACGGCTGCCGCAGACGGGCCCGGGCATCACCGTATCCCAAGAGTCTGCTGCTGCTGCTGCTGTGCTGCTGCAGCTGCTGCTGCTGTGCTGCTGCAGCTGCTGCTGTGCTGCTGCTGCTGCTGCTGCTGGAACGCTAACGTGGGGCCAGGCCCTGGCTGAAGCTGCGAGGACACAGGGAAGAGTCCTTGGAGTACACTTTGTGCTGCTGTGAAGCAGCAGCAGTACGGGCTACCGCAGCAGTAGCTGCAACAGCAGCAGCAGCAGCAGCAGCAGCAGCAGCAGCTGGGATTCTGCCTCTGCCGCCAGTGGAGGCACACCAGCGGCCCCTGGTGTGTACGCACACCCTAGTGCTGCTGCTGCTGCAGCAGATGCCTGGTCAAGCCTGCAGCAGTTGCTGCAGCTGCTGCTGCTGTAAGCTGCTGCCTTCGTCGGCGGCGGCCGCTTTAGGCAGCAGCAGCAGCAGCAGCAGCAGCAGAAGAGCGCGTGGCCGCGTGGCTTTCTACTGTCTATCCAGAGGAAAGAAACAAACGGATAATTGAGCTCTATTTGCAAAGTTAAAGAGGATCTTTTACCTCTTGCAGCAGCAGCAGCAACTAGAGAAGCTGCAGCAGCGGCTATTGCTGCTCGACCAAGGGGGCTGGCTTCCGAGCAGCAGCAGCAGCAGCAGCTGCTGCAGCAGCTGCTGCAGCTGCCGCCTTTTTTTGCTTCTTTCAGTTGGTGGAACGGCTCTACATAAGCAGCTTCATTGAAGACATGCATGCAGGCCAGTGATCCGGGTAGCAGCAGCAGCAGCTGCAGCAGCAGCAACTGCAGCAAAAGCTGCAGCAGCAGAGCAGCATCTGGGGCTGTTGCTGCTGCTGTCTTCATTAAACAATAGCACGTGCCCCAATATATTGCTGCTTTGATTCTGTATGCGTTTGGCGCGAGGCCTTCCTGCTACTTCCGCTGCTGCTCCTGCTGCTGCTGCTCCTGCTGCTGCTGCTCCTGCTGCTGCTGCTCCTGCTGCTGCTGCTGCTGCAGGTGCTCAGCTGTGCACGTTCATTCCGGAACATATGAGATGGTGTTTCTTTGCTGCATAAAATTATTGAAATGGTTAACTTTGGAAACACAGAGATCTCCGTTGCTTCTGCTGCTGCTGCTGCTGCATCTCTGTTGCTTCTGCTGCTGCTCCTGCATATCTGTTGCTTCTGCTGCTGCTGCTGCATCTCTGTTGCTTCTGCTGCTGCTGCTGCATAACTGTTGCTTCTGCTGCAGCTGCATTGCTGTTGCTTCCGTTGCTGTTGCCGCCATTGCGGCATTGCTGCTGCAGTTGCATCACTGTTGCTGCTGCAGTTGCATCACTGCTGCTGCTGCAGTTGCATCACTGCTGCTTCTGCCACTGTTGCTGCAGCAGCTGCGTCGCTGTTGCTTCTGCTGCTGCTGCGTCACTGTGCCTCAGCAGCTGTTGCTGCTGCAGGTGCATTGCTTTTGCTGCTCCTGCTGCGTCGCTCTTGCACCATCTGCTGCTGCGGCTGACGCTGCGCTGCTGCTGGTTCTGTTGCTGCTGCAGCAGCTGCTGCAGTTGCAGCTGCTGTCATTTAAGACGCCGGTGATGCTGCTGCAGCTGCTGTCGTCGCTGCTGCTGCCGTTGCTGCTGCTTCCGTTGCTGCTGCTGCGGTTGCTGCTGCTTCCGTTGCTGCTGCTGCCACTGCTGCTACTGCAGCACAACCGCAGCTTCAGCGCACCACAGGGGTAGCTAGCTGCTGCCTCCCCATCTATGCTGCTGCAGAGAGAAACTTAGGGTTTAGGGTTTAGGGTTTAGGGTTTGCTGACGCAGACTGCGGCAGCAGAAGTGGCAGCCTCAAGCAGCAAGAGGCCAGCTGGTGGAGCAGCAGCAGCTGCTGCAGTGACGGCGAAGCTCACGCCAAACCCTAAACCCTAAACCCTTGCTCGGTGCTGCTAAACCCTAAACCCTAGCTCGGCTGCTGCTAAACCCTAAACCCTAGCTCGGCTGCTGCTAAACCCTAAACCCTAGCACGGGTGTTGCAGAGAGGCTCTTCATGGTGCTTTTCTGCTTCCTGCATATTCATCGCTGCTGCAGCCAATTGCTGCTGCTGCTGCTGCTTCTCTCGAGCTGCTGCAGCAGCAGCGGCAGGCAAAAGACTCAGCCACAAATGACGCCCGCAGCGCAGCAGCAGCTGCTGCAGCAGCAGCTGCTGCAGCAGCAGCAGCAGCAACAGCACCAAAAAGCTACCGCACACACCCTACACAAGCAAAGACAATAGGTCGCTCGCGCAGCAGCTGCTGCAGCTGCTGCAGCTGCTGCAGCTGCTGCAGCTGCTGCAGTGTGAGCAGCAAAGCTCCCCCTGACAGTAACCTGTTTCTCGCTGCGTTCTGCCCCAGCAGCAGGACCGCAGCAGCAGCAGCTGCTGCTGCTGGTGCTGCTGCTGCAGCTGCTGCTGCTGGTGCTGCTGCTGCAGCTGCTGCTGCTGGTGCTGCTGCTGCAGCTGCTGCTGCAGCTGCTGCTGCAGCAGCAGCAGCAGCAGGTCAATACTGCGCAGAGTCCGCCATCCAGTGGCTGAGACTCTCGGGCAGCTGCGTGGGCCTTGCCAGGGCCTGCCTGGCTAGCTGCTGCAGGTGCTGCCGCTGGCTAGCTAGCTGCAGCAGCAGCCGCTGGTGAGCCAGAGCAGCAGCAGAAACTTCTTCTGCTTCTTCTGCTGCTCTCTCGCGGCCCAAAGACCGCAGCAGCGCAGCAGTCCGCTGCACGTGCAGCCTTTCGGAGGTCCTTATCTCAAACGGCCGCCTGCTGCTGCTGCTCCTGCTGCTGCTGCTGCTGCTGCTGCTGCTGCTGCTGCTGTTGCTGCTGCTGCTGCTGTTGCTGCTGCTGCTCGGGAGAGTTCCGCGTGGGGAAGCAACTGATCGGCAGGCTGCTGTCGACGCGGAAGATACGGGAGAGAGAGAGGGAGCAGCAGCAGCTTCGAAGCCTCTGGCTGCTGCTGGCCCTGCTGCTGCTCCTTCTGCTGCTGCTCCTGCTGCTGCTGCTCCTGCTGCTGCTGCTGCTGCTTTCCGCTGCGAGAGCAACTCCATTGCTTCGTCCAGCCGCCGCCACACGGGATCGCACGATCCCACAGGCGCCGGCTGCGGCGGCAGCGGCCGCTGCTGCTGCAGCATGTTCAACTCCATCTCGATAACTGCAGCAGCAGCAGCAGCAGCAGCAGCAGCAGCAGCAGCAAAGGCGTGAACAACTGAGAGGCAGCTAATGCCGCCTCAGCAGCAGGCCACTGACAGCTGAGCGCCAGCAGTCCCCGCAAAGCAACAGCAGCAGTGGCATCGGACGCCACAGCACAACCAGCAGCAGCAGCAGCAGCAGCAGCAGCAGCAGCAGCAGCAGCAGCAGCAGCAGAGCGTGCAGCATGCAAACCCTGCATACACTGCAAGATCACGGAACTTCCCTGCGAAGCCCCTTCGCCACTGCAGCAGCAGCAACAGCACGAGGAAAACAGCAGCAGCAGCAGCACCAGCAGCACCAGCAGCACGACGAAAACAGCAGCAGCAGCAGCAGCAGCAGCAGCAGCACGCCGAAAACAGCAGCAGCAGCAGCAGCAGCAGCAGCAGCACGCCGAAAACAGCAGCAGCAGCAGCAGCAGCAGCAGCGCGTACGGAAGGGTTGCTGCTGAGGGGGTGCAGCTGCTGCTTCTGGTGTCTGCGAATGGCGGAAGACACCGACTGCAGCACGCGGCTGCCTTGCTCGCCCCCCAGGCCAGCTTTTGCTGCTGTTTCGGAAGCAGCAGAAAGCCAAGACAGCACTGCGCCCCCCACGGCCCCCAGACGCGCGGGCGGCGGCGACGTCTGCAGCAGCAGCAGCAGCAGCAGCAGCAGCAGCAGCAGCAGCAGCAGCGGAGGGGAGGAGGGGGGGCAGCAGCAGCAGCAGCAGCAGCAGCAGCAGCAGAAGCCGCTTCCGAGGGGCAGCAGGAGCCTCGTTCCCAGACGCTACAGCAGACGCAGCAGCGCCGCAGCAGCAGCAGCAGCCAACAGCAGCCCCAGCAGCAGCAGCAGCGCCCCAGCAGCAGCAGCAGCAGCAGCAGCAGCAGCAGCAGCAGCAGCAGCAGCTGACGAGGTGCTCGAGCAGGTGGGGGGCCTGGACGCTGAGCATTTGCTGCAGCGCAGCGCAGCGCTCGAAAACCCCCGGAAGAGCTGGAAGATAAAGTCTTCTCAATTCATAAAAATAAAAAAGAGAAACAAAAAGCCAAAAGACTCTGTTTTCCCGAGTCCTGAGGGTGAAGTGTGCTGCGTTGGGGGCCCCCTGGGGGCCCCCGCGGCCGCCCGCTGCTGCTGCTGCTGCTGCTGCAGCAGCAGCAGCAGCAGCAGGGTCCTCGTCCTCCTGCAGCAAACGCATTGCTGAACCCGGTGGACCACGAGATGACCAGTGGACCGTCGTGTTGCTGTGGTAAAGAAGAGCTCCAGCCACGAAGTTCATTCCCTGCACGTAGCCCACCTCCTGCAGCAGCAGCAGCAGCAGCAGCAGCAGCAGCAGCAGCAGCAAGTCAGGTGGCAGCAGCGGCAACGGGGGAGACACGGCAGCAGCAGCACGAGGCCCGCCGGCAGCAGCAGCGACAAAAAGAAGCAGCTAGTGCTCCCTTCCAGCAGCAGCAGCAGCAACACCAGCAGCAGCAGCAGCAGCAACGCCACCACCAGAAGCAGCAGCAACTCCACAAACACGAGCAGCAGCAGCAACCACAGCAGCACAAGAGGGACCCCCAGCAGCAGCAGCAGTACTGCAGCACCCCAAGCACTACCCCAAGCACCAGCAGCACAGCACCCCAAGCACCACCCCAGCAGCAGCAGCAGCAGCAGCAGCAGCAGCAGCAGCAGCACAGCCCCCCAAGCACCATCACCAGCAGCATCAGCACCACCCCCCGCAGCAGCACCACCCCCAGCAGCAGCAGCAGCAGCACCCCCAGCAGCAGCAGCAG